CCCCCTTTATATAACCAATATTTTAGTGTTCATTTCTGTTGTGTTTTGATTACTTACTCTATCCTGCACTAATGACTTGTACCAAATCAATACTTTTAACATGCATTCATAATCTTTATTTATATTTTAATTGTGTATGTAAAAAATATGTAAATGCCCTCATAATTTGTTTGTAAATTATCAATATTTTTTGAGAATCTTTATTAACTGTTATGAAATGAGTGGAAAACATCGAACAGTGGATATCAATGTGTAACATTTTTGGCTCACTATCATAGCTATGACTATATAAGATTTTTAAAAGTAATTACAGTACTTTGATATTAAAATTAAATATATTCTGCATATACGTATTTAATATCATGATTTCTTCCACATCTTTCATGATTTAATTTAGTTTTTCTCATGACTTCAATTCCAGAGGATATATTGAGAGTACCTCTTCATGTTGACTTAAGATTTACTAAATTTCTTATTTAGAGTTTTCATGTTGAATTTAGTATAAACCATAACTGTCTTAGGAACTAATTTTTACAGTAGTATTTGTAGGAGAGGGAGGAGGAGCTGCAGTCTATATCTGTACTACCTCAACAATGAACAAGCGACTCTAAAGCAAACTTATAAACAGATTTATATTAGAATGAACTTTTTGAAATTGTGCCATTTTTTTTCCACCCTACATTTTAGTTGATACCATTAGGGCTTGTACAAGTTTCCTGATGTAATGGAAGTAATAAATTTTCTGTTTAGGATAAGAGGTAGAGATCTACTGTATTATGAGTGTAAAACTCAAAGGAAGTATGAAAATAGTGAGGTATTAACCAAGTGGATTGTATAACAAAGACCTGCATGAGGTTTTTTTTTTTTCTGACAAATTAACACCACCAAGTATTAAAATTGAAAATGAAGAAAGCAGCAAAGATGAGAAACCAACCTGGATAAAATTGATATGCTAAAAGCAGTTGGGAATAATGTGTGGAAGTAGGTGCGGTGCAGTGTTCATTGCATGTACAGTGCTATAAAAAAAAGTGGGAGGGGGACCAAGGATAGCCATAAGCATTTTTTTTTTTTTTTTTTTTTTTTTTTACAAAGAGAAAATGTACAAAAATGTGTAAAAAAAATTTAGCTATGCCAGGTGAAGTGTATACTCCCCACAGAGCTTCACATTACTCGCCTTCCACCTCCTAATGCTCATTCAAAACCATTAATGCAGAATGCTAATGTATTATTGAGCAGTATACTATTTTCAGCATATGTTAATTATCTGTACAGCACCATCTGCTGCATAAGACAGAACTTGTAAAATATTTTAATGTGTTGAATATTAAAATTTTTATGCTTGAATCTCCCAGTTTATATGATGAGATTTTATGAGGTAATTTGTCCCCTTCGAACACTACCTCCATATAATGGATTTTTCCAGAGCATAGCCTCATTGCTAATTGGGGTATACGTGAATTTTATTTTTTAGGTGTTCCTCCTTGAGAATAGACACAGTACTACATTTTAGATTTCCTATATAATTTAGAATTACTCTACCATATAGTGGAAATCTTTTTTTCCTACTTGTTAATATTTCATCATTGTTTCTTTTGACTAAAAATGTTTGAGAGTTGCTTGGTTAACTAGTGGTTATGTAAGCAAAGAATGGATTTGTGATGAGCAGAGCATGACATTGACATTGTGTAGAGCACCCCTGGGTGGCCTCTCCCACAGGTGATTGAAGAGGAACAGATGAGACAGCAAATACATGCATCAGCAACTAACATGTCCATGAGAGCCAGAGGTCGACATTCTCCTCAGGAAAATTATGTTAGCCAGGTAGGTTGCTTTCCAAGTCTGCATCACAATGTACTCAACCATAAGCTAATCTGCCTGTTTAGTCACAGGTTGATTTTGATGTAAAATTATGGGGAATTTGTTGTGTATAATGATACGTATTTTGGATTAAAACATTTTTCATATTTGCCCTCTAATTGGGTATACAGCAGACAGTTTTGTAAATAATGAGTCATGTTGTCTATTATGAGGCTTAAATGGAAAGATTATGTTGTGGTATTTTGTAGAAATGTGTGTCAGTTATTCTTGAGGGAAATAAATGCTTAACAAGATTTTAACACCAGCCATCTCCCACCAAGGAAGAGTGGGAGAGGTTCAGAAGTTCACAGATGTAACAAGTCAAATGATCCTCAGTTTTTTATCATTCTCACCCCTCCTTCTGAGTGCAGGCAATGCTCTTCCTACCTCCTGAACTCAAGTTTGGTTAACCAATTTCTTTGAAATTGCCTTCATAAATATTGCCTTGGTCACACTCCAGGTGCACAATATTGGTGTCCTTTCTGGTAATGCAGTATACATATAGCCAGTACAGTGGACCCCCGACATTCGATGGCATCGACATTCGATAAATCCGACATTCGATGCATTTTAACGCAAAAATTTCGCCTCGACGTTCAATCGAAAACCCGCTATTCGATGCGATTCGTACGAGACTTGTCCACATGTGGCCTGAACTGCCCCGTGTGTGCCAGTGTTTACAAGCCAGGCAGTGTGCGCGCATCTAAGGATACATTCGGTACATTCCATATTATCATTGTTTTTGGTGCTTGTTTCTGCAAAATATGTCACCATGGGCCCCAAGAAAACTTCTAGTGCCAACCCTTCGAGAAAAAAGGTGCTAATGACTATTAAAATGAAGAAAGAGATAATTGCAAAGTACGAAAGTAGAGTGCGTGTGTCGAAGCTGGCCAGGTTGTAAAGTAAACCCCAACCAACCATCTCTACTATAGTGAGCAGGAAAACGGCAATCAAGGAAGCTGTTGTTGCAAAAGGTGCAACTTTGTTTTCGAAACAGAGATCACTAGTGTTAGAAGATATTGAGAGACTGTTATTGGTGTGGATAAATGAAAAATGGAATGGGATTACCCTTCTAAACACTAACACCATCCACACACTCCCCTCCTCCCATCCTATCAATCACCACCAGATCTTCATTAAAGGTAAGTGTCAATTATTCTATTGTTATTAATCTATTGTTATTGTAATTATTGCATTAAACTTAATATTTCATGTGGTAAATTTTTTTTTTTTTTTTTTTCATACTTTTGGGTGTCTTTCACGGATTAATTTGATTTCCATTATTTCTTATGGGGAAAATTAATTTGCCTTTCGATATTTTCGACATTCAATGAGCTCTCAGGAACGGATTAATATCGAATGTCGGGGGTCCACTGTATTAATCCTTTGACTGTTTTGGTCGTATATATACGTCTTATGAGCCAGTGTTTCAGACATATATATACTCAATAATTCTAGTGGCTTCAAATCAAGCAGGAGAAAGCTGGTAGGCCCACATGTGAGAGAATGGGTCTGTGTGGTCAGTGTGCACCATATAAAAAAATCCTGCAGCACGCAGTGCATAATGAGAAAAAAAACTCCGACCATTTTTTTTTTAATTAAAATGCCGACTTTGTGGTCTATTTTCGTATAGTGTTAATGGTTATATTCTCGTTTTCTTGGTCTCATTTGATAGAATGGAAAACATATTATAGAAATAGAGGTGATTTTGATTGGTTTTACTTTGAAAAGAACCTTGAAATGGAGCTCGAAGTAGGGGAAATGTTTGATTTTTGCTGATATTCAGAAGTAAACAAATGTCATTTTCCAATAAATGTCCAAGTAGCCATTCTGATATGCAGTCATTAATGGGTTGACATTATTTATACAATTATTACAATATTGCAGTAGTCTGCGTAACAGTAAATCTTCTATTTTTTGTTTGAATAAAAATTCAAAATAGAAAGCAAGAGTAATATCAGAGGGTCCTGGAGACATGACTGATAAACAAAGAAAATGTTATTTTAGAACCAGGAATGTCTGCATTGTTCATTCTGGACCCTATTTTGAAATTGTCATATTTTTTAATTTTCATGAAATTGGCCAAATTGCAAATTTCTGACCACGTTATTGGGTAGTTGAAATCGGTAAATGGGCAGTTTCCTGTACTCAATTGATAGAACCAATGGAGTTCTAAAGAAATAGCTATGAGTTTGGTCAACTGGAACAATGGAATTAGCCAAAAATAGGGCTCAAAGTGGGCGAAATCGCTGATTCATAAATATCGCCGAGGTCGCTAACTTCGCGAGAGCATAATTACATCAGTTTTCCATCAAATTTCGTTCTTTTGGTGTTGTTACAATCGGGAAAAGATTCTCTCATTTCATAAGAATTTTTTTTTATGGAAATTTTCTGACACCAGGAGAAACCCCAGGATTTGGGGTTGCAACAGTCAAGGGGTTAATAATACATTAGTTATACACTGCTGTATTAATTTTGTTTAAGCATTCATTATTTTATTTTGTGCAGGTGAATCCCCAAATTTGACAGTTTTGTAATTCACAAAATTTAATTTACTGAAGAGCATCTTCAGATTGTTTCAGTGCCCATAGTTTTAGCTTGGCACACCTAAATTGAAAGCTAGCTGTGGAATTTTGTTGAGAATTTTCTCAAACTTTGCCATATCCAGTTTTTTTTTTCTTGGCTCATGAATGTCAATATTAATCAGATTAGTGATCGTTAAGGTAACGTTAAATGATGTATACCAAACTGTTAAAAAGCTTAGTATAAATATTTATAAACAAATAGAAATTAGGAAAGGAGAAAATGAGAGCAAAAATAAATGACCCATGATTAGTTAAAATATACAGTATAATGCTGTCATACACAAAAATCCCGCACATAGGAGACTGGAATTTATAAGCTTGTCTCTTACATGTTGGTTGTGTTGTTTCAGCCGTGATATTGTCTTTATTCTTTAGGGCTGTTGGATATGAGAAACTAAAATGTATTGTTGCTTGAAACATTTTTTTTTTTTTTGATTGCAGTTTTTAAGTAAATGCAGTACAGTCAGCTCTAATAAAAGCTACTGTATATAGAGCAATTTATTGGAAGTTCTGTATATTTGAAACACTCCATGGGGAAGTGAAACAGAATTCTTCCTCTGTAAGTCATGTGTGTGATAAGAGGCAACTAAAATGCCAGGAGCAAGGGGCTAGTAGCCCCTTCTCCTGTATAAATTACTAAATTAAAAAAAGAGAAACTTTCATTTTTCTTTTTAGATCACCCTGCCTTGATGGGATATGGTCGGTTTGTTGGAAAAAAAAAATATTTGAGTGCATCCCAAATTGAATAGAAAATAGAAAGACCTTCATAGTACATAGTATTCAGTTTTGGAGAGCTCACTGTACATGCAAGACTGAAACATCATGGGTCATATTCCCAGGAAAACCTATTCTAAAATGGCAACTTCAAAATGGTTTCAAGCTTTCTGCTCTGCCTAACAACAGATGCTATTTCTATACTGTATAATATGGTAATGCATACATATGTAGATCAGAATAAAGTATATCATTACTTAAAGGGAAATTTTATAGGGCTACTTAATATTGAGGCCTTCCTGCACAATAGTATATCTGGGGTACAGGGAAAGTTTTGCATTTTTTCATGATTTTTCTAAAATTGTGTATTGAGAGATGTACTAGGAATGAAGATTGCATACTCTACCTCTTTCAGTTCTAATGTGATTAAGATTGTTTCTAGTTAATGTATTATAATCATTTCAGTCATTGATGAACAGCAGTCCACATCAGGAAGCACTCTCTTCAGCAAGTAGTGACCGATTCATTGAGGCATATGTGTCTGCAGTTGATTCAGCATCACACTTCTGGCTTCAAGTAGGATTCTTGAGTAATTTTGATAATTCTATTCCTCTTGTATTACAATAAGTAGATTGACCTCAACATTTGCATTATTGTGCAATACCAAGAGTAGACATATATATATATGGGAGATGGCTGACTTGTTAAAAAAAATTCAAGGAAACCGGTTATTTTTATATAGCTGGACTTGAGTCCTGGAAATGGGAAGTGCAGTGCCTGCACTTTAAAGGAGAGGTTTGGGATATTGGCAGTTTGGAGGGATATGTTGTGTATCTTTATACATATATGCTTCTAAACTGTTGTGTTCTGAGCACCTCTGCAAAAACAGTGATTATGTGTGAGTGAGGTGAAAGTGTTGAATGATGAAAGTATTTTCTTTTTGGGGATTTTTTCTTTCTTTTTGGGTCACCCTGCCTCGGTGGGAGACTGCCGACTTGTTGAAAAAAAATATATATATATATCTATCTCTATCCTAGGTTGTAGGCTGGTAGACAGCAACCGCCCAGGGAGGTACTACCGTCCTGCCAAGTGAGTGTAAAATGAAAGCCTATAATTGTTTTACATGATGGTAGGATTGCTGGTGTCTTTTGTCTGTCTCAAAAACATGCAAGATTACAGGTATGTCTTGCTACTTCTACTTACACTTAGGTCACACTACACATACATGTACAAGCATATATATCCACACCCCTCTGGGTTTTCTTCTATTTTCTTACTAGTTCTTGTTGTTGTTTATTTCCTCTTATCTCCATGGGGAAGTGGAAAAGAATTCTTCCTCCGTAAGCTATGCGTGTTGTAAGAGGTGACTAAAATGCCAGGAGCAAGGGGCTAGTAACCCCTTCTCCTGTATATATTACTAAATGTAAAAGGAGAAACTTTCGTTTTTCCTTTTGGGCCACCCTGCCTCGGTGGGATACGGCCGGTGTGTTGAAAGAATGATATATAATATATATTTTTAGCAAGTTGGCCGTCTCCCACCGAGGCAGGGTGACCCAAAAAGAAAGAAAATCCCCAAAAAGAAAATACTTTCATCAACATTCAACACTTTCACCTCACACGCATAATCACTGTTTTTGCAGAGGTGCTCAGAATACAACAGTTTAGAAGCATATACGTAATAAAGATGCACAACATATCCCTCCAAGCTGCCAATATCCCAAACCCCTCCTTTAAAGTGCAGGCATTGTACTTCCCATTTCCATTACTTGAGTCCGGCTCCCACCGAGGCAGTGACTCAAAAAGAAAGAAAATCCCCAATATAAAGATATATAACATACCCCTCCAAGCTGGCAATATCCCAAACACCACCTTTAAAGTGCAAGCATTGTACTTCCCAGTTCCAGTACTCAAGTCCAGCTGTATAAAAATAACCGATTTCCCCGAATCCCTTCACTAAATATTACCCTGCTCACTCCAACAGCTCATCAGGTCCCAAAAAACCATTTGTCTCCATTCACTCCTATCCAGCACACTCACACATGCTTGCTGGAAGTCCAAGCCCCTCACCCACAAAACCTCCTTTACCCCCTCCCTCTAGCCTTTTCTAGGATGACCCTTACCCAGCCTTCCTTCCCCTACAGATGTATACCCTCTCCAAGTCATTCTACTTTGATCCATTCTCTCTCAATGACTAAACTACCTCAACAACCCCCTCTTCATCCCTCTGACTAATACTTTTAATAACTCCACACCTCCTAATTTTTAACAGGTTGTGAGCCCTCGATCTGTTCAGCTGGATAAATTGGTGACCGAAATGACAGAATATTATGAAATTGAAGAAAACAGAGAACTGCATAAGTTAGACAAGGTACAAGCAACAAGTATTCCTTGTATAGTTAATTTCAATATTTTGTTCCAGACTCAAGCTAATATTTATTAGGAATTTGTTAAAAACATACAAAAAAAAATTATACAGTAGTTAACAATTTGGTAAAATTTTGTAAATATACTGTATGCAAAAAGACCAAAATTATCACAGCTCTAGGATTCCAAAAGTTCCAACAAACAGAAATTTTTCTTCAGATTAAGCCAGTACACTGATGTTGCTAATTATCACCAAACAATATCCTAGTATACTTGAATATAATTTGCATTAGTCAACCCTGATGATGAATGACATGAAATGGATTAATTATGTCCTGCTACAAATATGCACATTTTGATTGCAGATAAATATAGATAGCATAGTAGCAGCCAAATTTCCACATGATGACTCTTGGTACAGAGGGCAGATATGCAGTTATGAGCACAATGAAACAGATCCCAGTCAAAGTCTTGTAACGGTGTACTATGTTGACTTTGGAGACTCGGAAACCATCAGAGTGGACACTGTTTGTGAGTTAAGAACAGATTTCCTGAAGCTTAACTTTCAAGCTGTTGAGTGTTTTCTGGCAAATGTTGAACCTGAGTAAGTATCGTGAGGTTTTGTGCTTGATAACATGCATGCGAACAAAGTTTGCTCACAGGATAAAACTAAATCTGTCAGTAGTATGAAGAATTACACGTGCAGCATCTGGGTATCTATTTGTAGAAATTATTTGGCAGTTATTTTCATGCTTTTTCAAATGTCATTTCAGTTGAAGGCAAATACGATGTCTGATTAGATGCTGAACAATGCCACTTATTTATGTTTGAGTAGTTTCCACACTGATTGTAGATAGAGCAGTCTTAGGGTTATTTGGACATATTGATATACTCATCTGATGCACCCATTAAAACACCAGAATGCAGGATTAGATGTTTGTATCTAAGTCTTAAGATGTGATGTTTTTCTTTGGTTATTGCCGTCCTTTTAAATCTGCTTATTTTGGGACTTTCAGGCCAATCTGTTAAGTACAATTATTGATGTGTCTTTACAAAAATTATCAAAATTCTTCAGCTTTACAAATATTTTCTTCATAAACACCATATTCCAGTAACATTTGAATGTGACATGATTGGATTTGTCTTCATTTATTAGCCTGTGATGTATAATTCCCAGGAGTGTACAAGGGGATGAAGCAACTGATGTGTTTGAAGAGTTGACTTATGCAGCACAGTGGAAAGTAGTGATGGTCAAAGTTGTAGGCTATCAACAAGCAGGAGACAAGACCATACCTTGTGTCCAGATTATTGATACAAATGGTCCTACAGTAAGTTTTTTAACACTGGCCATCTCCCACTAAAGTAGGGTAATCTAAAAATGAAGAAACACTTTTACCATCACTCGCTTCATCACCACCTTGCCAGTGATGGTGAATATGAATGTGTTTCCTTCTTTGGGCCACCCTACCTTAATGGGAAAATGCCAGTATAAAAGAAAAATCTAAATTATTTTCACATTTGTGATGATTAGCCTTTTGTCAGACGTCATGTCCTCCACACAGAACTCATTTATTGAAATTATCTCACCCTGTATATCTTAACTAATTATTCATTCTTTGCATTCTGTATACTGTGTTTTCTTTGGACAAGGAATTTTTTTTTTTTTTTTTTTTTTTTTTTTTTTTTACACATTAGCTGCTTCTCACCAAGGCAGGGTGACCCATAAAAGAAAAAACTTCCATCATTCAACACTTTCACCATCACTCATACGTAATCACCGTCTTTGCAGAGGTGCTCGGATACGACATTTTAGACGCCCCTCCAAACTGCCAATATCCTTAATCCCTCCTTTGAAGTGCAGGCATTGTACTTCCCATTTCCAGGACTCTTGTCTGGCTAACTGGTTTCCCTGAATCCCTTCACAAAGTATTAACCTGCTCACACTCCAACAGCTCATCAGGTCCCAAAAACCATTCATCTCCATTCACTCCTATCTAACACGCTCACACACGCTTGCTGGAAGTCCGAGCCCCTCGCCCATGAAACCTCCTTTACCCCCTCCAACCTTTTCGAGGACAACCCCTACCCAATCTTCCTTCCCCAATAGATTTATACGCTCCCAAGTCATTGTACTTGCTCCATTCTCTCTAAATGACCAAACCATTTCAACAGCTCCCCCCCCCTTCAGCCCTCAGAATAGTACTTTTAGTAACTTCACACCTCCTAATTTCCACGCTCCAAATTCTCTGCATAATATTTACACCACATATTGCCTTTAAACACAACATCTCCACTGCCTCCAGCCACCTCCTTGCTGGAGCATTTACAACCCATGCTTTACACCCATACAAGTGTTGGTACCACTATACTCTCGTACATTTCCTTCTTTGCCTCCATGGATAATGTCCTTTGTCTCCACAGATACCTCAATGCACCACTCGCCTTTTTTTCTTCATCAGTTCTGTGGTTTACCTCATCCCTCATAAACCCATCTGCTGACAAGTCAACTCCCAAATGTCTGAAAACATTCACATCTTCCATACTCTCTCTAATGTAATATCCAATTTTTCTCTATCTAAATTGTTTGATACCCTCATCACCTTACTCTTATTCATATTCACTTTCAAGTTTCTACCTTTACACACCCTCCCAAACTCAAACTTTTATTTAGAATGCCCCAAAAGCACAGTATCATCAGCAAAAAATAACTGTCAACTCCCATTTTGTTTGATTCCCCATAATTTAATCCCAATCCTCTCCCCAACACCCTAGCATATGTACAAGTTAGTATTAGTTAAGTTCAGTAAGTCTTTAACTTTTAGCTTTTCAGAAATTGCAAGGGTAATTTTTAAATGCTTTCTGAATTTTGGAAGAGACATGCTCGTGTGTAAGAGGGAAGTTTTCAAACATTGTTAACATTGCACTTGTGTTATCATGCCCTTGTAGAATTTTTCTTGTTATTAACTGGCTTCATTCTTTAGTGTTTCAGATACATATAATCTTTGGTTGTTCATCATAATACCTGTGAACATTGACATGAACATTTCCCACAGTTAAATAATAGTATAATTAATAAATCTTCCCTCTGTAAGCCATGCATATTCTAAAAGACAACTAAAATGCCAGGACAAAGGGGCTCGTAACCCTTTCTCCTGTATAAATTACTGTGTAATTTTTTTTTTTTGAGAGGGGGGTCACCCTGCCTCAGTGGAAAATGGCTAGTACATTGAAAAAGAAAAATAGTAACTCTTTTTATTCACTTATAAATTCTAAAGAAAATTTGCTTAACCTTCATATTATCTGAGCAGGTAATCATTTTTAACTTGTCTTATTTTTCAGGACATAGATGTGGCTGAAGAGTTAATGAGGAGGACTACAACTCAGATTACTAATGGAGTAACAAGCATGCCCTCATCATCCGAACCCTAAATAAAGGTTTTCCTTCTAAATAGGTTGTATTATAATTAATTAATCAGTAGTTTTGTATAGCATTAGCTAATATAAATCTTGGAAGGTGAAAAGAAGGGTAAGATGTATATTATTTTTAAAGTAAGTTGGCAAGTCAAAGCTGTTTGTAGGAAACTGAGAAATTATATTATGCTTGTGGTGAGAGTTCAAATCTTACATCTCCACTCCTTCACAATTTATTATTTCACAATAGTGTAGGTTCAGTTGCAGATTACAATTTGAGTTGAATATGGATTTATATTGCAAAACATTTTGTATCATATTTTAAAGCATGAAACCTATTCTACATATACTTTATTATGGAGTTCAATAATTTAATAAGTGAAGCAGCAATGCTTGCTTTAAAAAGTGATCTATTTGGTTTCACGATGGCAAAAAAAATATTCCCAATAAAAATTTGTTATAATGTAGTCATGTTCGATTCGTATCACTGTAGATCACAAGACATCTGAATTCTTTAGTTATTCATTTTTCTTGAAATAATTGTCACAAATTTTGGCATAGTGTCTCCTATTGCATTAATTTACTAATGGAGTCTCTTGCTTGGAATAAAGAATTACAGGTATTTTTTTATTATCACACTGGCCGATTCCCACCAAGGCAGAAAAACTTTACCATCATTCACTCCATCACTGTCTTGCCAGAAGGGTGCTTTACACTACAGTTTTTAAACTGCAACATTAATACCCCTCCAGAGTGCAGGCACTGTACTTCCCATCTCCAGGACTCAAGTCCGGCCTGCCGGTTTCCCTGAACCCCTTCATAAATGTTACTTTGCTCACACTCCAACAGCACGTCAAGTATTAAAAACCATTCGTCTCCATTCACTCCTATCAAACACGCTCACGCATGCCTGCTGGAAGTCCAAGCCCCTCGCACACAAAACCACCTTTACCCCCTCCCTCCAACCTTTCCTAGGCCGACCCCTACCCCGCCTTCCTTCCACTACAGACTGATACACTCTTGAAGTCATTCTGTTTCGCTCCATTCTCTCTACATGTCCGAACCACCTCAACAACCCTTCCTCAGCCCTCTGGACAACAGTTTTGGTAATCCCGCACCTCCTCCTAACTTCCAAACTACGAATTCTCTGCATTATATTCACACCACACATTGCCCTCAGACATGACATCTCCACTGCCTCCAGCCTTCTCCTCGCTGCAACATTCATCACCCATGCTTCACACCCATATAAGAGTGTTGGTAAAACTATACTCTCATACATTCCCCTCTTTGCCTCCAAGGACAAAGTTCTTTGTCTCCACAGACTCACCACTCACCCTTTTCCCCTCATCAATTCTATGATTCACCTCATCCTTCATAGACCCATCCGCTGACACGTCCTCCCAAATATCTGAATACATTCACCTCCTCCATACTCTCTCCCTCCAATCTGATATCCAATCTTTCATCACCTAATATTTTTGTTATCCTCATAACCTTACTCTTTCCTGTATTCACTTTTAATTTTCTTCTCTTGCACACCCTACCATATTCATCAACCAATCTCTGCAACTTCTCTTCAGAATCTCCCAAGAGCACAGTGTCATCAGCAAAGAGCAACTGTGACAACTCCCACTTTGTGTGATTCTTTATCTTTTAACTCCACGCCTCTTTTCAAGACCCTCGCATTTACTTCTCTTACAACCCCATCTATAAATATATTAAACAACCATGGTGACATCACACATCCTTGTCTAAGGCCTGCTTTACTGGAAATAATTTCCCTCTTTCCTACATACTCTAACTTGAGCCTCACTATCCTCGTAAAAACTCTTCACTGCTTTCAGTAACCTACCTCCTACCCAACCATACACCTGCAACATCTGCCACATTGCCCCCTATCCACCCTGTCATACGCCTTTACCAAATCCATAAATGCCACAAAGACCTCTTTAGCCTTATCTAAATACTGTTCACTTATATATTTCACTGTAAAAAACCTGGTCCCCCCCACCCCTACCTTTTCCCTAAAGCCCCTTGTTCATCTGCTATCCTATTCTCAGTCTTACTTTCAATTCTTTCAATAATAACTCTACCATACACTTTACCAGGTATACTCAACAGACTTATCCCCCTATAATTTTTTGCACTCCTTTTGTCCCCATTGCCTTTATACAAAGGAACTATGCATGCTCTCTGCCAATCCCTAGGTACCTTACCCTCTTCCATACATTTATTAAATACAGTGGACCCCCGCATAGCGAACTTAATCCGTGCAAGAGGGCTGGCCGTTATGCGAAATGTTCGCTATGCGAATTAATTTTCCCATAAAAAAATTAATGGAAAAAAAAATTAATCCGTGCAAGACACCCAAAAGTATGAAAAAAAATTTTTTACCACAAAAAAATGTTTAATTTTAGTACACACAAACTGAAAAAGGCATGCACAATTACATGCACTTACTTTTATTGAAGATCTGGTGATGATTGATGGGATGGGAGGAGGGAGAGTGTGTGTTAGTGTTTAGAAGGGAATCCCCTTCCATTAGGACTATGAGGGTAGCAAGGCCTTTTCTGGGTTACTTCCCTTCTTCTTTTAATGCCACTAGGACCAGCTTCAGAGTCACTGGACTTCTTTCGCACAACATATCTGTCCATAGTGGCCTGTACCTCTCGTTCCTTTATGATTTGTCTAAAGTGGTTCACAACAGTGCCCATTGTAACAGTCACCAGCACGGCTTGCAATAGCTGTGTGAGGGTGATTTTCATCAAAAAGGTTTGCACTTCAAGCCATTTTGCACACATTCCTTAATCTTTGAAGTAGGCAATTCCTTCAATTTCCCTCTCTCCCCCTCCTTTGACCAGTTTCCCCAGGTCTGGCCTTTTGTCTTGAAGTTGATCTATCAGCTCATCAGTGGTTAGTTCTTCATTGCCCCTCCTCCCCCAAACTCTTCCACATCCTCCCCACTAACCTCCAACCCAAGGACTTCCCCAATTCCACAATTGATTCCTCAACTGGTATACTACTCCTCTCAGGGTTAGCCTGAAACCCTTCAAAATCCCTTTTGTCTACACATTCTGCCACAGTTTCTTCCAAGCAGAGTTCAAGGTTCTCTTAGTCACTCCCTCCCAAGCCTTACCTAAAGGTTTACACAATTGAGGATATTAAAGTGATCCTTCCAAAACTTTTTTTAGAGTCAATCGAGTGTCTGTGGTCACTTCAAAGCACTTTTGAAACAGAGCTTTTGTGTACAGTTTCTTGAAGTTGGAAATGACCTGCTGGTCCATGGGCTGCAGGAGAGGAGTGGTATTAGGGGGCAAAAACTTCACCTTAATGAAGCTCAATGTCCCCATAAAGTCGCTCGGGCCACGCCCTGTAGGATGACCAGGGGCATTGTCTAACACCAGGAGGCACTTAAAGGGCTAATTTCTTTTCAGTTAGGTAATCTTTCACATTGGGGCAAATGCTGGTGTAACCATTATAGAAAAAATTCCCTAGTGACCCATGCCTTACTGTTTGGGCCCCCCACAGCACACACAAATTATCCTTGAGGACATTCTTTTGCCTGAACGCTCTGGGAGTTTCAGAGTGATACACTAATAAAGGCTTAACTTTGCAATCACCACTAGCATTGGCACACATCAACAAAGTAAGCCTGTCTTTCATAGGCTTATGTCCTGGGAGTTTCCTTTTCCTCCTGAGTAATGTAGGTCCTGCTTGGGAATTTTTCTTCCAGAACAGGCTGTTTCATCACAATTAAACCACTTGTTCAGGTTTCCCGTCCTTCAGTTTCTATGTACTCCCCTTGAATTCATGCACATATTTTTTCAGCCGCTTTGGGGGTCCGAACTGGCAGCCTCACCATGCCGTATCACACTATGGATGCCACTAAAGCTTTTTAAATCTCTCAAACCAACCTTTGCTGGCCTTAAATTCACTCACATCATCACTAGTTGCAGGCATTTTTTAATTAAATCGTCATGCAACTTCCTAGCCTTTTCACATATGATCGCTTGAGAGACGCTATCTCCTGCTAGCTGTTTTTCATTTATCCACACCAATAACATCTCTCAACATCTTCCATCACTTGCGATCTTTGTTTCGAAAACCAGTTTAAACCTTTGGCAACAACAGCTTCCTTGATTGCCGTTTTTTTTGCCCACAATAGAAAGGTGGTTGATTTTGGTTTCTTGTACAACCTGACCAGGGCGGTGATACGTACTCCACTTTTATACTTATCAATGATCTCTTTCTTCATTTCAATGGGTATTCTACCCTTTGAGGTGTAGGGTTGGCACTAGAAGCTTTCTTGGGGCCCATGGTCACTTATTTTCCAGAAACAGCACCGAAAACACTGTAATAATACGAAATATTCCGAGTGTATGCTTGAATGTTACCGCGGAGGCTGGCTGGTAAACAATGGGACGGGCGGCACATGTGAGGCTGGCTGAGGGCGCACATTGGACGCGTCTCGGACGAAGGCCGCTGAGCGGGTTTTTGTCCACTATGGGGCAAAATTTTAGCGAACAAAGCGTCCGCTATGCGGATTGTTCGCTATGCAAGGCGTTCGCTATGCGGGGGTCCACTGTAATTGCACCAACCACTCCAAAACTATATCCCCACCTGCTTTTAACATTTCTATCTTTATCCCATCAATCCCGGCTGCCTTACCCCCTTTCATTTTACCTACTGCCTCACGAACTTCCCCCACACTCACAACTGGCTCTTCCTCACTCCTACAAGATGTTATTCCTCCTTGCCCTATACACGAAATCACAGCTTCCCTATCTTCATCAACATTTAACAATTCCTCAAAATATTCCCTCCATCTTCCCAATACCTCTAACTCTCCATTTAATAACTTTTCCTCTCCTATTTTTGACTGACAAATCCATTTGTTTTCTAGGCTTCCTTAACTTGTTAATCTCACTCCAAAACATTTTCTTATTTTCAACAAAATTTGTTTATAACATCTCACCCACTCTCTCATTTGCTCTCTTTTTACATTGCTTCACCACTCTCTT